GGGGGGGGTTGCAGTGGGTCATACATACGCTTGCCACGAGCGTCGCCGTCCGGCCAGGCCCCCGCTTCGGCGATTTGCTAATTATTATAATTACTACGATTTTGTTTTTTAAGCGTCGCTACGTAAAGGGAAGTAGTGGAAAAAAAAAAGCCACCACAAAAAAAACGCTAAAAAATAGGAAAAAAAAAAAAAGGCCGAAAAGCATAAAAATGGGGGGAGTAGGAGGGTCTCCCCACTTCTCGGCCTCCACGGGGGCCGAAAAATAAAACAACAAACGCGCGCGGGCCCTCGCTGGGGCGCCCTGCCTGCTTCCTGCGACTGTTGCTCGCTACCGGTCGCATTGTGCGCGACCCTGAGCCCTCGCTGTCTGCCCGCAGCCCCCCCAAATCGGGAAGGGGGGGTTCGTTAAGAAACGGGTGTTAACGAGCCCGGCCGCCGGAGACATGGGGGTTAAAGGGCTCTCCAGGCTGGCGGACGTCCGGAGGGAAAACCTCGCTCGCGGCGGGCGCTTCGGAGGAGGGGAGAAAAGGGAATGGTTAACGTCCGCGCGCGCGCGGGTACGCGAGGGGCCGCTCGAGCCCCCCCACATCCCGCCCTCCCCCTTTCCGTGGGGTCCCCCCCAAATCAAACCATGGGGGGCAGATGGGTCCCCCCCTCCCCATCCCAAAAGCCCACTGGTTTAACGGGGTTGGCCGCAGTGGGGTGGCGGCGGGACCTTTTTTGGTGGGGGCTTTCTTTGGGGGGGGGGACTCCCTCCAACGTACCACTCCTCGTCTTTATGCGCCAGGAAGAAATCCTGCATCTGCTGACGGCGGAAATCAAGCTTGTAGTCATTATAACGCTTAACGGCCTCCGTCTCGTCCACCGCATCATCCAACGACAGCAGGAATTCCTTGAAGCTCTTCATCACCGGGGGAGCCATCCCCAGGTCCACCTCCGCGATGTTCCCCAATCTGCTTGGGGGGACAGACCAGAGTCGGTATCCCCGAAACGGAGACGATTTGGGGACACTGCAGGGTACTTACTTACAGGGAGGTTTGGGCTCTCACAGGCCGGTTTGGGCTCTCACAGGCCGGTTTGGGGCCCTTACGGGGCATTTTAGGTTGTTAGTGGATGGCTCAGGACCATAACAGGGGGGTTTGGGGCCGCTACGGGGCAGTTGAGGCACTTAAAGGGCTGTTCAGGGCCTTTACAGGGTGGGTTTGGGTCATTACTGGGCAGCTTGGGGTCTTTATGGTGCCCTTTAAACTACTATTGAGCAACTCGAAAACATTACAGAGTGGTTTGAAGACATAATAGAGTGATTTTCAGATATTACAGACTAATTGAGGCCCTCAAAGGGCAGCTCGGGGCCGTTATGGGGCGGTTTGGGCTGTTCCCGAGTGGCCTGTGGCTATTATGGGGTGGGTTTGGGCTCTTCCCAGCCAGCTCAGGGTCATTACAGGGTGGGTTGGGCTGTTCCAGGGTGAGGCACTGCCATTAGGGTGCAGTCTGAACCGTTACAGGGTGACTCAAGGCCGTTATGGGTGGTTCAGGCTGTTACTGAGTGGCTCGGGGTCATTATGGGGTGATTTGGGCCGTTATGAAGCAGCTGGGGACCATAACAAGCCAACTGAAGCCCTTATAGGGCAGCTCAGAGCTTTTGGGGGGGGGGGGGGGGCCTTTGGGGGGGGCCGGG